ATATTATATTATATTATATTATATTATATTATATTATATTATATTATTATATTATATTATATTATATTATATTATATTATATTATTATATTATATTATTATATTATATTATATTGAAAGTAAATTTGTATTATCTTTATATGTGATTTAGCAATGTAAGACTAATATGTGGGTTAGGAGGATTGTACCATGTTCAATGTTTTTAATGCATTTTTTTGGTTTTTGTTTCTGTTTGTTCAATAAAATTAAAAGTATATTTAAAAAAAAAAAAGCAGGAGAGACCCAGTATCATTCCAGACAGATGGCCATCCCAATTCCAGGACCCATACATCTCCCGTGGAATTCAAATTCAGCAAATTTTTGTAAACTGTTTTAGAACCCCAACATTATCATAAAGCATTTGATGACGTTTATATGAACATATTTCATGTGGTCAGCTCCTGATGTTTGACGGGGCCAGACAGCTCAACCTGGGCTACATTTCTGAATAGTTATGGAAGTTTGAACATCTTTCAAAAGGAGTTCGAAGAATCCTATGGCTGGAAGGGACTTTGAAGATCTTCTAGTCCAACCCCTTCCTCAAGAGGAGAGCTTGTACCATCCTGGACAATTGGCTGTCCAATCTCTTTTTAAAAACCTCCAGTAAAAATGGCCATGATGCTTTCTATCAGGGGCCTTTGCTAATCTTAAAAAAAAAACCTCAGACATATTGGAAATTCAGTAGAATTGGTGTAAACCTTGGCTTACAACCACAATGGAGCCCTGAATTTCCGTTGCTGAGTGAGACAGTTGGGTGAATTTTGCCCCATTTTATGACCTTTCTTGTCGCAGTTGTTAAGTGAATCACGGTAGCTATTAAGTTATAAGAGAGAGAAGGAGAGAGAGAGAAAAAGAAAGGGAAAGAAAGAAAGAGGAAGAGAAAGACAAAGAGACAGAAAAGAGAAAGAAACGAGAATGGAAGAGGGAAAGAGAGAAAGAATGAATAAGAGTGACAGAGAAAGAGAGAAAAGAGACAGAGAGAAAAGAGAAGGATAGAAAAGAGAGAAAGAGGAAGAGAGAAAGAGAGAGAAAGAGGAAGAATGAAAGCAAGAGAGAAAGAAAGAGAGGCCAGGAATGGTTTTCCGAAGCGGCTGCATCAGTCCTGATTGACGGCTTCCTTCATTTATTATGCCTCTCAGAGCTCTTTGGGGAATGAAAAATCTCTCCATTCCCCCCCCCCACCTACCCTCCCCGGCCTCCTTCCTACCCAGCCTTTGAAAAGCAGCATTGACTTTTTCCTCCAAGGGGGTTAGAAAAATGCAAAAGGGCAAAGTTTTAAACCCCACCAGGGCAATCGAGGAGGAGGAGGAGGGCTGAAGGCAGGTGACCCTGCTGCCTGTGAAGTCCTCCATCTGAAAACGTTTAAGGGCATCTCAGTTTTCCTTCTGATTCATCCAGACTGTCAGAAAGCCACAGGGCAGGGGGGAGAGAGAGGGAGGGAGGGAGAGAGAGAGGGAGGGAGGGAGGGAGGGAGAGAGAGAGAGAGAGAGAGGGAGAGAGAGGGAGAGGGAGAGAGAGAGAGAGAGCGCAGGTCCTTCTGCCTTCACTCCTGGCAGGAAACCGACGGCAGGGTTGGAAAATGGAGGGATGGTCAGAAGGGGGATCCACCTTAGCCTTCATGGACAGCTTTGGTGCTGGGCAGGAGAAGCCAATCAAAATTTGATAGATAGATAAAGAGATTATAGTTTAAAGCATATAGATAAACAGATGATAAATACAGTATATACAGTATAGACACATAGATAGATAGATGATAGAGATAGATAGATAGATAGATAGATAGATAGATAGATAGATAGATAGA